TTAGAGAGTTCCAAGTGAAACTAAACATTTAAAATCATCAATGAACATCTCACTTCTGATCTTATGACAGAAGGTCATTAATAAAGCAGTTGAAGATGGTTGGACCTAGGACACTACCCTGAGGAACTCCCAGAGTAGATGACTGACCTCCAACAACCATTGTCCTTTGTGCTAGGTAGGACCCAACCCTGGACTTTCACTCACAACTCTTCTTCCCCAATCCCTGCCCCCACTGACTCCAGTCTTTCAAGGTCACTTGGGTGAAATACTGCCTTGGTATAACAGTCACTCTTACCACCGAAATTCAACACTTCTGTCCACATTTGGACCAAGGCTTCAAGGAGGTCAGGAGCCAAATGGTCTTAGCTCAATACAGAGCATCGTCGGCAGGCTGTAGCACGTTCCACTCGATAGCACATTAACCAACACAACTTTTCCGATGATTGAGAGAGATGATAGAGCAGCAATTAGCTGGCAGGCAGGATGCACTTAGGCAATTTGCTCATTTGTCAAATGGATGCCAAATTTGCAGCTGTATTAGAACAGCTTAGCAGGAGGGAAGGCTAATTCTGGACCACAAATCTTCAAACTATAATCAGGATTTGGTTGTAGTGTTATGGCCTATGCTGTATCAAGCGAGCTCAGCTGTTGCTCAACGTTATGTGGGATGAATCAAGTTGGCTGAAGACGATTGAAAATACCTGATCTTCGCATTCATGTGTGGGATCTGCCAATGATGATGAGATACTCATACAGCCACCTCAACTATCCACCAGCCTTGATCTAATCCAATAGTGGTGCAATTGCTTAGCTATAAATGCAGCATGGTCCTTCTGCTGTTTAGCATTAAGCAGTCTGAGCTTAGGTTATTACCTCCTTTTAAAGGTGTATTGGCTGGTATGCTTATAATACTCTCCTACATTCACAGAGCACAGATTAGGCCCTGGCTTGATTGTAATGTGGTGAATACAATTCTGCTGGCCTGCCATGCCTCAGACACCTGGTTTTGAGCCACAGTCATTTCTGACTATATTCAATTTCAGGGTAGTTTTTTCCGATGAAGAGTCACCAGACTCAAATCGTTAACTCTGCTTTGTTCCCACAGATGCTGCCAGACCTGCTGAATTTCACCAGCAATTTGCTTTTGTTTCAGATGTCCAATTCTTTGTTTTATCAGTTTTTTTTGTTAGCTATGGGCATCAAGAGGTTCAAAGAACAAGTTCAGATGGCTTAAGGCCTACTCCTATTTCAACATGGATAATGACCACAAGACATTGGAAACTGACCATTGGTTAAGGAAACGTAGCCCAGGAAAGGGTGAAAGTGTGGTAATCTTCCTCTTTCTGATGGGAAGAATCACAATAATCTCAAATCAGTAAAACTACTGCACTGAGCTGGTTTTATTGCACAACAAGGCAGGTGGTTTAACACATTTGTTAAAAGAACTTTGGCAATGCAGTTTAGGATACAAGGACAAAGCTGTTGTCACACTGCTGACACATACTGCAGCCCTGCTCCAATTTTACAAGGACACAGCTAGACTTACACTAGTTAGATTAGCTGACCAGGAAGGCAGGAGACAGAGGAACAAACACTAAAATTTAATGCACTGACAGGTGAGGATTTTGTAAGAAGGGTACTTTGATTCCACATGCATATCTGGAAACAATTACAATATACAGTTGTGTTAAGTTTCAGCAAAATAAGTGATAATTTACTTTTACATTGCCTATCCTGAGAGTGAGAAAGCTGCTAATGTGGAACAAGTGAATAATCAAAAATATTGGTCAGGACACTCACTCATCAGTTTTGCACAATGGGTGACCTTGGGTTATTTTTTAAAAACATTTGCAGATGGGAGTAGCTGCCTCAGCTACATGTTCAAGAAACAGGATTCCACAATTCTGACTCAACAAAGATAACTGACAAAAATTCCAGAATTACCACTAGAAGCTGATAATGTTGGCCCATAACTACATCAGCACCAAAACCCCAAGGTATTAAAGAGTGCAGTAAGCATGCACAATAATTTGTCCTCACCCAATATTAAAGAACATAGAACAGCACAGTACAGTACAGGCCCTTCGGTCCACAATGTTGTGCCGACCAATTATCCTACTAAGATCAATCTACCCTGCAAACCCTACATTTTACTATCCTCCATGTGCTTTTCCCACTACCACTGCCAGAGGTAAAGAACCTACCTCTGACATCTCCCCTATACCTTCCTCCAATCACCTAAAAATTATGTCCCCTTGTAATAGTCATTTCTGCCCTGGGAAAAAGTCTGACTATCCACTCTATCTATGCCTCTCATCATCTTGTACACCTCTATCAAGTCACCTCTCATCCTTCATCGCTCCAATGAAAAAAGCCCTAGCTCCCTCAACCTTTCCTCATAAGACCTGCCCTCCAGTCCAGGCAGCATCCTGGTAAATCTCCTCTGCACCCTCTCTAAAGCTTCCACATATTTCCTGTAATGAGGCAACCAGAACCGAACACAATATTCCAAGTGTGGTCTAACCAGAGTTTTATAGAACTGCAGCATAACCTCACGGCTCAAACTCAATTCCCCTGCCAATGAAAGCCAAAACACCATACGCCTTCTTTACAACCCTTTCAACTTGGGTGGCAACTTTGAGGGATCTATGGACAAGGACCCCAAGATCCCTCCTGTTCCTCCACACTGCTGAGAATCCTGCCATTAACCCTGTATTCAGCATTCAAATTCAACCTTCCAAAATAAATCACTTCACACTTTTGTGTTGAATTCCATCGGCCACTTCCTTGCCCAGCTCTGCATCCTGTCAATGTCCGGTTGCAACCTACAACAGCCCCCTACGCTGTCCACAACTCCACCAACCTTTGTGTCATTGGCAAACTTACTAACCCACCCTTCCACTTCCTCATCCAAGTCATTTATAAAGATTGTTACATACTATCTGCATCAGGGGTTAAGGATATTAATCTGGAGTAGCATCACCGTCTGGTTTCCCTCTCATTAGTACTGCACTGCAACATCAACTGCAGTGATTGTCTTTGACAGGTTAGAAATTGAACCTGGCATCTCAATCCAACTACGGAGTACTGACAAGTTTAAAAGAAATGGAGGAAATCAGGTTATAGCATTAAAACCCCCAAACTTGATACTGTTCCTCAGAAATACAAAACTTCACATTTGCAGATTGGCTTAATGTCTTCCTAAAACCAGCTAACATCACAAACCAAATGCCTGAATGGTGGAGGATAGCAAGAATCAGTATGAGCAATCATTAGAAAGGTAGCACAAGTGACAAAAACAAAACAAGCATTGAAAAAAAAAAAAGCCCTCTGACTTCTTTTAGTTTCACTTTCCACTGGGAGACTCTCATACTTACCTGTACCCCACCCCTCCTAACTAAGAATAATTTACCTCATCTCAGCTAGAGTAGACATTGGAGTGATAACCAGCTTCAGAATCCTTTGGCTACTGAAGGAAATCAACCTGATCACTATCTTGTGATTTATCCAGTGTTTCTCACAGACAAGGACACGATTATGCTTCAGTCCAAGTCAAACAAATTGTTAAAATGATCTAAGGCTAGCCTCCCTTCCCCAACCAAATGTCCACTTAAAGTCTCAAGCAACTCAGTCCTATTATCAGGTCTAGCTTTGGCGTGGCCTTGTGTATTTGGAGGATGCTCCTGAACTCTCTGGTGATAAATCCTAAATCAGAAATCCAAGACTTGCTGGTAGCAACAACTTCAGATGTATCCCAATAAGTTTCTAAAGGGATTCAGTTTTCTAAGGTGGCTCCAAATCACACACTTCGAACTGAAAACTCTGACACTCCTACTTTAGGTTTCTGTGATAACTTTTTTTTGTATCACTACATAAAAATTACAGCAAGAAATATTCCAAGCAGTCCAACTGGTTTACATTTACATTTATGTACCACAGAACTGACAGTAACTGTGGTACTAACTAACACAAGCCTGTAATCCTGGAAGAGAAGATAAGAAAATTCCCCCATTATGTAACATAATTAGTACGGTGACAGAATGGTTAGCTACCCAATGTGGAATTGTTCAGAGATACACAGACTTGGAAGGTCCGGAACTTAATCCCGACTGGGTTATGGACCTCAGACAGAGCAGCACTAAAATTCAATGGTCGAGAGTATTAGAAAAACAATTCAGCCAAGTAACCTGGACATGAATGCTCTTTAGTAAATACTTAAAGGAGTGTAGAAAGGATCATGATTGACAAGAGTGCCTTTCAATACTCTATGAGCCTGCCAACACTTCTAATTGAGGACTGACTAATCAGACAAAGTAGTGGATCCCGACTGGAGCTAGGAGATTCTGCAGCAACAGTGATATTCAAGAGAAAAAAATAAATGGCCAGGAATTCGTATGGTACATCCCAGATGATTGAATTATACATCTTCTAACTGTTTACTAATTAAAAGACCAGGGGACTAATCTTGAATGCTGAGGATATGAGGCTTGCTACCATACACAATGGCAAAGGAAAGTTGCCAAGTTGCATCTAAATGGAAGATGATTAAGTACAAGAGGTTAGAAAGAAATACAAGTACTAATGTGAGATGAATACAAATAGGAAGAGGCTTATGTGGAGCATTAAAGACCGGTGTTATAAAATGGGAAGTAGTGGTATAGCACATTGCTGCCATTATTCTAATTTACTTTGTCATATCCCAATTATGTGATTATAATTTCAACTGTCAGAGGGAGTGATGAGTGAAAGAAGTGAATAACTCCAGACATCCAGGTAATTTAATGGCTAGTTTAAAAGACCCACTAGTTACAATGGCATTTGGAGACCAGTTCAAAAGCTTTAGGAACCATATATAATCTCTGTAATTGTGTATTGGAATTTAAATTGTAATGGATTTTATTTCTCTCCTCCTTTACCAATTAGAAGCTATTCTTTCCCTCAGTAATAAATTTCACTTTCCCTTTAAAACAAAAATAATTCAACTTTGGTTACAACGTCAGTTAGGTTTAAGCAGAGATTTAATAAAACATCACACATTACAAAGATCAGGAGTTCAGGCTTTTGGGCCAGCTCCACCATTTAATTAGACCACTGATCAGTATGTCAACACCATTTACTTGTTATGAATCCATATCCTCAGGACTCAACAAAAACCAACCAACTCCATTCTGGCTCTTCGAATCCACAGCCTTGTGCACGAATAGGGTTCCAGATTTCTACTAACGTGTTTGTGGGGTGTGTGAAGTGTTTCCAGATATCGCTTCTGAATGATGTGGCTGTAATTTTAAAATTATGCTTCCCCCTCCCTCACCGACCAGAGGAAATAGCTTCCCTGCATTTAATCTTTAAAAATATCTCAAAAGGAACACAAGCAATTCTTCAATTAAGCCCACCCTTTTCTCCTGACCATTCCAAAACACTTGTTTAAATCCTCCAACAAGCCTCTTTGACCAGTGTACATATGGACAGTGCTTTCAGAAACTTAGAGGCCACCTGTCTTATCTCCTGATTGGGGATTAGAGGTATACAATATTAGCAATCCTGAAAAGGGAGTAAGAAAGGAATTAAATGTTAAGTAGGGTTGTAAGATTTGCGAGGGATCTAAGCAATTAAGATACCCTTTTAAATTTATACCTTTCAAAATTAATTTTCAAAGTTTCAAATTGCTCATGCAACACATATGGGTCCGTTGTTAACTAAAATAAGCACAGCCACTACATGCTATAACAATGTTATCACAGCAAACTGGGAATGAAAGACACACTACAGTTAAAAACATGGAACAGATTCCGAAGATACTTCAATGCTGGTTTGAACTGTCATGAGATTCGTGTACAATTTTATATACCTTGTTGCTTGTCTTCATAATTTTATTAAACTCCTCACTGAACTACATTCTGCTTCTTATGCACATCATTTACAGAATGTTAAAGGCAATGAAACTGTATTGATTGTACAAGGAAAGGTACAGTATATTTTGGTAGACACCATTTCACAGGCACTGTCTAAAAATCTGTGTGCAGTTTTAATGGTTGGTACATTTAATAGTACTATTCACAATGATAAGACAATTGGATTCTCCCCACCCTGAGGTGTAATCACAGTTTAACTGCAGGCTTGTGGAAAAAAAAACTACAGTTTAAAAAAAAACTATTCTTCCAATTAACTAAAACACAAGCTAATGACAGTGGATCAAATGTGACTTTGCCTTGGTATTTAAATCAAGCCAGTACGTTTAAAATGGCTGCCAATATCAGGACTTGTCATGGGTAATAATGATCAATACTCCACCTCTGTGTGGCCACGCATGTCTAACCCTACCAGCCAAAGAGCTAGCACGGTATGAAATTTTTAACCAGAATCTATCCGGTAACAGCTTTCACCATATGCAGAATCTTGTGGTGAATACCACCATGCTCAATCCAGTTTGGAGCAATAGGTCAGACTTTTCTAGATAATACAGTAGGAGGGTAGGACTGGAAGTCAGGCTTGTTACTGTGGTTTGGACCGCTGCCATAGTTTGCTTGTCAAAGATCCCAAGGAGAGGCCAGAAGATTTCTGCTGCGATCGATCAGTTATTCTCTGCTGTTCTTCCTGGTTTTGGGGAACAGAAACAAAAAGAGATCAGTCTTTGGCTTGGCTAAATCCATTCAGTGTTTCAGATACTCTTATTAAGGGAGGCAAGCTGAGAACTACCAACAACACATTTACATGGTGCGATTTGCAGAGAACACATCATTCAAAGACCAGAGAATCCCTACAGTGTGGAAACAGGCCCTTCAGCCCAACAAGTCCACACCGACCCTCACAGCATCCTACCCAGACACATCCCCCTATAATCCACCAAATCTACACATCCCTGAACACTATGGGGCATGCTAAATTGCCCACCCACCAAACCTGCACATCTTTGGACTGTGGGAGGAAACCAGAGCACCCGGAGGAAACCCACACAGACACAGGGAGAATGTGCAAACTCCACAGACAGTCACCCGAGGGCTGAATTGAACCCAGGTTCCTGGCGCTGTGAGGCAGCAGTGCTAACCACTGGGCCACTGTGCTGCCCTACCATTATCCATGAGGGATTGGGGCATGGACTTCCCACTGATAACAGTGTGGATACTGTTCCAATGTTACTCTCCTATTGACTGCAAAGGACTTTGTGATCAGACCAGATGAGTGTCTGAGGAAAGAAAAGATGAGGCCTGGGCTGACCTTATAAGTATACCGATAGTGAATCAGTGGATGACAAGAAGCAAGTGTAAAATATCTCTAGGCACTTCATTGGAGCATTAAAAAATTTAACAGTTCATCAATGGAAGGATGTGTTAGGACAGTTGACCAAAAGCTTTGTTAGAACGGTATGTTTATTAAGAATCTTAAAGGAGTAAACAAAACAAGAGATAGAGATAGACACACAGAGCTTTAGTGAAGGAATTCCAGAAGTTAGGGACTTGGCAGCTGAAGGCACAGCTGCCAACAATGGAGCGATTAAAATTGGCCAGAATTGGAGACACAGATGTACAAATGTGCTATGAGGTAGAAGGAGATGAGAGATGTGGAGGGTGTAAGCCAAGGAGGCATTCAAAAAACAAGTTCAAGAATATTTAAATAGTGGCCACTCTTGACTTGGAGCCCATGCAGAACGGTGACGGGATCGGATTCATGTGAAGGCACATGCAAGGTTGTGAATGTCCTCAGTTTATATAGAACATGCTAGTGCGGCATGAAAGTATTTCAGTAATAATGTCTGGAGGGAACAAACCCATAGATAAGTGTTCCAGCATCAGATGAGGTGAGGATTTGGACAATGTTTATGGATAGCTCTGAAACAATCCCCAAAGAACTTGCACTGGTCTAGTACCTTTCATGAAGTAGTCAGGGAAATGTAATCCCTATTCTAATATATGGGAAAAAAATGGCTTCTACATTTCCTAAGGATTCCAACAAGACAAGAACCAGATTTTTTTTTTTTTTTTTTTTTTTTTAAAAAAAAAGATGTGATGTTGGTTGAGATAAATACTGCCCAATACAGGGCTTGCTCTCCTTCCAATATTAAGACAGCCATCTTTCATGTCCACCAGAAACAGCAGACAGGGCATTACTTTAACATCTCATCCAAAGATGGCGTGGCTCTGACACAGAAGCACTTGCACACTGGAATGCCAGCCTAGATTTTGTGCTGAGCACTCAGCACCTTCTAACTCAGAGGTTCAGAGTTCTATGCACTGCATCATGGCTGAGATGAAGGAGAATTTATGTATCAGTGCATTAAATAAAAAAAAAAAAAGCTGCCAATCAAACAAATACTAGAACTGGTCACATGGAAATTTTGTAATGAAATTTAATAGCTTTGACACTGGAACTGGATGACAATTTTAAAAAAGGTTTTCCCATTTAAGATGGCAATGAGAGAATTATTTTTCTCAGAGGGTTGAGGGTCTATTGAACTGCACTCCCCTAACATTTGTAAGGCAGGCATGGATAGATTTTTGGCTTTTAAGGAAATCCAAAAGTATTGGGAGCAGGCAGGAAAATGAAGTTCAGGTCATAACCACAGCAGTCATGATTTTATTGAATGACTGAACATGTTCTTGGAACTGAACAGTCTACTTCTCTCCTAATTCATATGTTCATATAGGTACAAGGTGAACAGGCAATACATGTGTGCAATAAATAGGTTTAAAAAGGTAGAAATTAATGTAAGAAATTTAATATTTATTTTCGCAATTTCCAAACTACTTTGAAATAACTACTTTAGTACATTATCTCACATAAAGGCAGTGTTAAAAATTAGGTTACAAGACGATGCATGTGAAGTTATTAAGTCCCTTAATTATCATTAACAAGTTAAATTTCAGGCAAAAGTCTACATTTTATCCAAGGCCCTCTATCTAGGATTAAGTAGTAATTTGATTATCTCATAGCATTTTGGAATCAGTTTCCTTTGGTACATGTAACTGTCTACATTTACATGGCACAAAACACTAAATGAATTTCTTGAATAACCACCTACTGCCATAAAAACATGTCACCATACAAGGTTATTTACATTCATATTTGGGAGGTTGCACTTGATAGAGGCTTTTACTGTCTGTTAAGGTATGCATTACACAGGGCAAAACCTTTCAAAATTACTGCGTGGTTTAAACTGTAAGGTTGGTTTAGGACAAGCACCCAAGCATAAGGATGCCTTAAAAGCAGAAGAAACTAGGCAATGGATTCAGAATCAATTAAAAAATAAACAATGATTTTTCCAGTGACAGACAAACAGACAAGGATGTACCAGGGATCAATCCCTAGTTTACTTTAAACTAGCAGATCTCAAATGGGTGGCAGTAAACAACTGGCTTCGCTATTCTGAGATGAGAAAGGGATTCTTGGTTACAGCTCCTGATCACTATCCAACTTATCATGGGTAAGAATAGAGGATTGTACTTGACTGAGACACCTCCATGGTCCATCAGCTGACACGAAACAGGAGACCCTCAACAGGAATGATGATCAGTCTCTGAGAGCTTCTCGACAGAATGAAGAAAATCTGTCCAAATCGGTCCTGTGGTACACAGGGGTTAAATGTGATGTCTCAATGAGACGTACACATCATTGCAGGAAGTGATGTAATGTCACATGACCTGACTGTCTAGAGAGCTCATGCCCGAGTGAAACTACTGGACAATAGTTCTTAAATAAAATCCAAGGTTTTATTAAGTTAGCAGTGTCATTTCGCAGCACAGGATCAAGACTATTAGGGTTTCAACTGGCACGATATGGAATTCTAGGCTAACGATCACTGAAACAGAGGCACTGAAAACAGACTGGGCAATCTCTGTGAGAGGAGTGTCTCTTGGTATTACTACTTGCTGCTCCTCACACTGAGAGATTGCCAATTTCTGTTGTTAGCCTTTCTGTGAACATTGATGGCTCTACAACTTCCAAAATGGGAACAGACCAAAAAATAACTCCCAAACAAGTGACTTGGACATAAGTGCTTAATAAGTAATGTCACTATGGTCCCATAAGACTGCTGTCCTATTAGAGAGAGAACAAATTATTAATCATGGTAAGTTCAGCATCAAGTGGCCAGGTAATAAAAAAAACTGACAAAACAGGTGTCAATAATATTATGGAAAATTAATTTGCTTACTTTTGCATTGTAACAGTATGGTGATAAATTTACATCCTGACAGAGATGAACTCTCACCTGCGCTAACAGTTCTTGTCTCTTCTTAAATGCTTCAATTGGATCATCTTCTAGAGCATAGTTCTCCAGTACAGTTCTTATATCTTCAACTCCATTCATTGCAATTGCTGCAATGCAATACAAGAGAAAGTGAGGTAGGGCTAATGCCTTCTTCATATGACCACTCAAAACATTAAAACATCACCATAACCCCTTAGAATGAAAGCCTGAAATCCAAATCAGAACTAGAATGTTTCATTGTAGCTCCAAGAGAAAATGGCTCCAAGGATGTTGTCTAGATAGTTCCATGTGTAATTATACAGGGTTTTGGTGGTTAGATCTCACTATCTATCAAAAGTCCCTGTTTGAATTATGTTCCAAGTCCAAGCTGGCACAGTAATAGGTCAAGTGCAATGGGTCTCAGTTTGTTTGTTTGAGGTGGAAAAATCAATTGCACCCAATCCAATGATCCTTGCTGTATGAACTTCAGATGAGGTTAGATCAAATTCGGCTGTGATAGTCTCCAAGCTCATGCATTAAGAATGCCAACTCTGTCAAGGTGCGGAAGACTCATGATGGATCCATATCTCAATACATTTCATTGTATTCAGAAGAAAGCGGAATTATTGTTGGCATGGGTGAGAGTAAAACCAGCTTTAGGTTTGCTCTCTGGCCTGTGCGGAGTTAGCCGATTACAACACTTAGAGGAAGTAAAGTGATCCCTTTGAGCAACAGCCGAAATATTTCTCCTTCCCAGAGATGGGTACTAGGGCAACTTCTCTTCAGAACACCAGCTAAGTCACAGCCAGTTTCAAAGAAAGAATGTGGAATTACTTAGCTGGAATTCTGTCTAGCTGTCAAGGGAGCAGGGCAGAGAAATGAAAGAATAAAACTAGCATCTGTAAAGTGCAAAGTGCATTTGTTCCAAATACATGCTGTTGCAATCAATAGTTACTTTTGAACTATAGTCACTGCTGTTGAGCCGGCAAACAAGGCAGCCAACAAACAGCAAAAGGAGATCAATGACTAGATAATACTTTTTAAAATTATAGCGAAGCCTCTTTCAGACAGCTTCAGTATTGGCACAAGATGTTCCTTTATTTGTGTGCCCCTATTTTCAAAATGATTATTGTAAACATTGCAACAGCAAACAAACAAACGTGAATAAAGCACCAAGGTTATAATCAGTTAAAATACCTTGCAAGAATGTTTTGACTCGCTGTTGCACACACCACAGAACGTATCTTACATAATAACCTTGCAATTTAAACTCATGTTTCATTTTGAACTGCTTTCACTTTGAGCAAAGTGGACTTTCGGTAATGGCCTAAGTTTCTCAGTTCTGCTTGGGAAATCTTGGAATGGATCGAGAAAATTTGGGTGAGAAAACATACACATCTCGAGTATTGGGATCAAAGTGCAGATATTTTGGTTAAGCAGTGAGGTTGTAGGATGACAGATTTGTGGACTTGTCTGTCCACTTTAGAAGGCAGCAGAAAAACAGGTATGAGGCAGCAAAATCTCCTCTGACCTTCCCCAAAGCCAAAGATCCTCAAAGGAGAGGATTTAATATTGGAGGGGAAGATGATGGTAACAGGGTCACGGTAAGACAGGAGTGAATGAATGAGCATGCTGCCTGTACCCACTTTATTCAAAAGGCTGGTGAGCTCAGCTCAAAAGGAAGCAGTGGATTTTGAAACAAACAACAGAACAGGCTGTTTAAAGTCAAAAGGAGTTTGCTACGAAGCTTCCAGACAGTGATAAATCCCTTGATTCTGAGCATAGAGCCATATAAGTATTTAATCTCACAGATAAGGCAACTTCTCTGTTGCTAGAGATTCTGGGTAAAGAGGTCTTCATTCCACAGAAACTATTTTCATCAGAAAAAAACCTGTTGCTGCCCTGCCCTCATCTAGGTGTCATGTGTTTTAAGTTGCAAAAGGTCTCAGTGCATGCAAGATTGGCAAATGATGATGAACAACAGACAATGTCCATGATTTCAAAATACCTCAAATACGCATATTTTATCAAGCAGGTTACTGGGGTCACCGAATATCTGCTTTTTTGGGGAAAATCTGTTCTACTGATCATTTTGGACAAGTTTTTAAATTCACTTTAAATTGGATACCAGGTACCAATTAAATCCAACTGAAAGAAAATTCCACCATCAATAATGTACATTTCCTCCATGAGACTATAAAGAAATGAATCACTTGTCCAATGCCAATTCAAACTGCAATCTACTGAAGATTAAAATAAATCCCTTTGTACAGCATCTTGGTGTGTAAAGTATTTCAGTTAAATAGTCATCCTTCATTCACATGCCAGACATTAAATGTCAGAATCAAAACAGGCCCTTTGGCCCATCCAATGCTGACCAACAGATTACACCAATCCCAATTACCTGCACTTGGTCCACAGCCTACTATGCCCTGGCATTTTAAGTACTCATTCGGATGCTTCCTCAATGTTGCGAGTACCTGTCTCCTGCACGCTCTTACTTCTCACATTGAACTTATGTCAGTAATTAGAGGGTCACAATCTCAAGACTGCCAGCAAGAGAGCTCAGAGTGAGATGAGGAAAAACTTCCTTACTCAGACGTTAGGATTTGGAATATGCTGCCTGGGAGAGTGGTGGAAGTGGATTCTGTAGGAGGTTTCAAAAGTGAGCTGGATATATATTTGAAAGTGGTGAATTTAGAGGGCTACAAAGATAGGGTTGGAGAATGGAATGAGTTAGGTAGCTCTTTCAGGAGCTGGTACAGACATGATGGGTCAGGTGGCTTCCTTCTGTACTGTAAATTTATATGGTTCTAAGCCCTCTGGTCTTAGGCACAGCTGCCATGAGGAAAAGATTCTAATGATCCACTCTATATCTCTCAATTTTATATAACTCAATCATATCCGTCCTCAGCTTCCTCCGTTCCAAGGAAAACAAACACAGCTTATCCCCAAAACTGAGATTTTCATCCCAGTCAACATCCTGGTGAGAGATAGCAAGAACTGCCAATGCTGGAGTCAGAGATAACAATGTGGAGCTGGAGGAACACTGCAGGCCAGGCAGCATCAGAGGAGTAGGAAAGCTAACGTTTCAGGTCGTGACCCTTCTTCAGAAGGTTTCTGAAGGGTCCCGACCTGAAACGTTAGCTTTCCTACAAAAAAAAAAAAAAAAAAAAAA